ATTATCACTGGTCTATGGCCTGTTGAGAGAGGAAGAAACCAAAGGTCAAACAGAATATATGAAGAGATGGGAACAGGAGTTAAGGAGGGAGCTCTCGGTGGAAGAATGGGGAAAATGTTTTACTATGTCACATAGTTCTGTCAAATCCTCATTTTATCAGGAAAAAAACTATAAAATACTCTCGAGATGGTATAGATGCCCAGAAGGAATTAAACATATAAATCCGGGGGAGTCAGACAGATGTTGGAGATGTAATATAGAAGAGGGAACGTATCTGCATATTTGGTGGAGTTGTCCTAAAGTGTATATCTTTTGGGAGTCAATATTTGAATCCTATCAATCTATAGGTAAACTAAATTTGGAGAACAACCCCACAACTGCATTACTATATTTGATTCCGGGCCCTATAAAAAAGATAAAGATAGATATCCTGAGATTTATGTTGGCCGCGGCAAGAGTCAACATATCACCGGATTACAGGGTTAATGTTGAGATACGGTTCTTTCTTACATAGAGATATAGAACTCTGTAGACTATAGCGGCAAACGAATATAATGTGCTTAGATAAGATAAATGTTTACTGATCTACCCTTAGAAGTTTTGCTGAATAATGTCAGATGTGCAACAGTCTATTATATTGCGGAGCCGGTGAGCATTGTAACCTCATCGTATCCACTTTTATTGTGTTTTATGACATTGATTCAGTCAATAAAGAATTTGAAAAAAATGCAAAAAAAAAACCAAACATATCACGGGGTTGGAAATCAAAGTTTCCTCCCTCACTTGAGAAGTGGGAGACTACGATGGAAGAAATAAGATACATGGAGGAATTAATTGCAAACGATACTGGTAAAACCGACAAATACAGGTGAAACTCGAATAATTAGGATATCGTGCAAAAGTAATTGCAGTAAGTGCTGCAAAAGGGGCCCAAACCAAGTACTGAGTACATATGCATGCTTGTACTTTTCAGAGGTCCGATATTGTTCTATGTACAATCCTTGTTTTATTGATTGCATGTAATAATCTACTTTTTTGAGGTTGTGGATTTGGGGTTCTTGGGGTTTTCATGAGCTGTAAGCCATAATCATCACAATTATGACAAATCACGGCTTGAATTATCTTGCTTTGCATGTAATGAGTCTATCTCATATATTAGTTTCACCTTTTAAGTTGCATTAGTGAAATAAATGAACTTTGCACGATATTCTAATTATTCGAGTTTCACCTGTATAAGTATATATGGGAGGAACGGGAATCCTATAGAAAGTCCGACGTATTTAGGAGTTTGATAATGAAGGATAGGGAGGAAAGGAAGAGATATAGAGAAGAAACCTTTTTGGGATCTCTGGTAATATAAGAGCCAACAATGTAATGGCCAAACTTTAAACAATATTAGGATTTATTGTCTTATAATAGAATATATATGCAATATATATGCTACTACGGATCAGTGGCGTAACAACCGGGGGTGCAGCAGGGGCGCGGGCCCCGGGCGAAAAGTGAAGGGGGGGGCGCCGGCCGAAAATGGCACTTTCGGCTAAATAAAACAATGCAGACATGTCTCTTACCTTTTGCTTCTTTCACATTTTTGCTCCAACTCTCCCAATCAGGCCATAACTTCTCTGCAATATCTGCCCATGCACGCTGCCTGGTTCGCCGGTTCTTGTATGCAGCATCCTGCATGTTATAAATGCAAGGCTTTTCATGCACCAGGCGTATGAACGCTTCTGTGTCGATCAGGCCACACACTGCAGATTCCTCCATTATGCTGCTTCTAGGCCGGCCGAAAAGTGTGCCTGAAGTCTCCAGGGTGTAGTCTGTGTGCCGGTTGCCATGTGCAGAACGCGCGTTTTTGATGACGAAAACGCACAAACGCCCACTTCAGCGCGTTCACGTTGAAGTCTATGGCCGCAAACGCGCTGAAATACGCTCCAACGAAGCTCCTGTACTTTTTCGAGCGTGGGGCGTATTTCAGCGCGTTCCTACGTGCTGTAATACACCCAGGTGGGAACCATGCCCATAAGAAATAATGGTATTTCACTGTTTGAGCGTTTTACAGCGCGTCACTACGCGCTGTAAAATGCCCAGGTGTGAACCAGGCCTAAAAGTAAAAAACATCCCACATAAACAAAACTTAGGAGTCAGTCCTCAAAATCTCATGTTCAGGAATCAAGTTGAGGACCTAGATCCTTACCTCTCATGACACAAAAATGATAGAGAAACTTAACAAATAAATACTCTCAGTTAAAAATTAGACTGTAAGGAGTATAGCCGACAACCCACACCTTATAACATTTTTAGGACATGCTCTGTGGAGATAGGCCTCCTTATATAGATGGAGAGAAGGGTTGGGGGATCGCTCTTTTTCCATTTAGAACAATTACCTAGCACAGAATAGTAAGATTCCCAAAAACTTTCTAGAAGTATTGGTGGAGGCAATGTGCTCCATCAGATTGAGAATACAAGTCAAAATAGAATACAAGTCAAAATCTCAGGCCTGACCACTAGTGTGGTTATTTGAGAAATAAATTGGGTGACATACATCCAGAAACCATCTGCTTCTAGGCATTTAAACATTTTAGCTTCCTGCAGAATCAGCTGGTCCCCTAAGCACTGGCACTGATATCCTGTTTTTGTGTGCTAGTACATTGTGTGTGTCTTCACAAATACACAGGCATAGCAACACAAATCCCTCCCCTACCCTCAACTTCTTCCTCCCTTCTCCAAGCTTGTACAAGCTGCTGAAGACTGTGCTGTCCCTTGTGATTTTGTACTGGGCAGGAACCTCAGGAAAGCCAAGCTGAGAGTGTTGGAGCCAGCTGTTTGGAAATGATGACTGCAAGTGCTTGGGCAAAAATGTAATGAAATACTTTGCTAGCAATGTATATATGTTTGATGGGGATTCATTATTGAACATTTTTTTGGATACTGCTTCTTGATGTAGATGCAATTGGTACCACTTCTTGATGTAGAAAAGGTTTTAGCTTCCTGCAGAATCAGCTGGTCCCCTTAGCAATGCCCCTGATATCCTGTTGTAGGGTGGCTACTTCCCCTTGCAGGGTTCTATGGGGCCACCCTTGTGTGCGCCAGTAAGCTGTGTGTCTCTACACAAACACTCAAACACAGCAAGGCTAGCCACTTCAGAAAGTTGGGGGTATTGCTGTCTGTTTCCTGTTATGAGGATTCACCAATACTATTTGTCCTGGTGACTGTTATCACTGAAAGTGGAAGGAAAAGGAAATCCTGAGTTTTTAATTGACAGCAGAACAGGAATAATATGGGAAATCTTCGATTGGAGACACTAGCTCTGGTTATAACCGGGGATTTCCCTCACTTTGAAAGGATTTTTCCTCACTTCCTGTTGTGGCTATGGGATAAGAAGTGAAGGGCACTGGCTGCATGATATTTCTCATTGCTGGTCGGCTGACAGTGGCCACATGCCTGCGTGCAGTAAAGAAATTGGTACTTGTAGTCTCCACCGGGAAGCCCATGTGACAGGGTGGTACATGGGCACAACTGCCCAGCAACTAAAAGACATAGCGTTGTCACAACTGAAAGACATAGCATTCTAACTTAATAGCAGGAAATGCCTGAAAGAAGAATTTCACCCCACCACTATCTGCTCATTTGTTTTTTTTACCCTCTGATAATGTGCCACTGGGTCTGCTCTTCTCCAGCTGCTGTATCCCAGGAGGGACCAGAAGGAGAGTATAAGTCATACTCACCTAGGTGAGATCGGAGGCAGGGGGACAGTGGACCGAGTATCAAAAAAAAATATAGGTAAATTTAAAAATAAAAAGTATTTTCTTGTGTGACTTTGCCTTTTAGCACGCCTTGAACCTGGCAGAATTAGGCATAATGGTAATACATTCTGCAAAGTACATTACCACGTTAAAGAAGAACTCTGGGGAAATTATTATTAACTCTTGCAGTGGGATTACCCCCGCACTGCAAGGGTTAAGGGCTTGTTCACACAATCTCCGGACCAGAAAGTGTTTTTGTCCGGGTCTGAAATGCATCCTAATGTATTACTATGGTATTTCTGGGCTCTGTTCACACCAGTGCAATACGTTCTGGTGCGGGGGGGAAAATGCTGCATGCACTATTTTTTTCTGGTCTGGAATACACCAAAATGCATGCAAACATACTGGACTGCATCTGAAAGCCCATTTTAAGTTAAAAGAAAAATGCACCGGAACGCGTCAAAAACGCACTGCACCGCGTTTGCAGATCTGATCCAAATCTGGTCCGGGTATGGTGTGAACAAGCCTATAGACTGGTCCCTGGAGCCTCTCTCCCCCTCTGCTGCAGTGGTCTAAGGTCCCGTAAATCATTACGTTCTGTACATAAAGGGCCGTGCCATTGCTGCTGCGTAGGAGGAGACAGCCTGAAGTTAGCTCTGTCACAGCCGACTGACTCTGAGGATCCGGTGAGTGTAACTTTGCTATTTTCCTCCCTAGACCAAAACGAGTCTATTAAAACTCGAGTCTATAAAAAACGAGTCTATTAAAAGTTTAATAATCACTCTTTTTGGAGTTTTGCTTTAAAGTTTATATGAGATTTCACTGGTTGAGTTTACTGATTCAGCACCCTAATAAAATGTATTAAATTAATTTGGTATACACAAAAACAGGTATCTGATAATAGTGTTGGAGAAGAATAGAGTATTGGACAGAGTATGGATGGTTAATTTTTCATTCACGTTTTTCTATAACTGTATGTGCTCATAAAAAAAAAAAAAATCTTGCCTCAGGGCCAATTGTTCCATAGGTCCGCCACTGATTCAAACACATATGGTTCGATAAATTCCATTCACTCATCACCCATCCTAAACAACATGCATTACCCCAACCTAACCGCTGCGCACCGCTATTCTCACTGCGTGACATCACAGTTACCATGGCGAGGAAGAACCAACTACCATAGAGTAAACGGTTGGATAACAGAATGACTGTTACCATAGAGGGGAAACCGGAAACCGCTATTCCACATTTCCGTATTATCTACAATAGAGAACATGGCGGCTACCAATGTGAAGCAGTTCCAGAGTTTCTGCGAGAGTGACAAACAGTGGCGAGCAAGGGAGGAATTTCTACTACGAAATCTGGAGAGGTTCCAGGAAGACAATGATATGGACAAGCTGCTCGCTCTGTCTATGGTCTGGGCTAATCACGTCTTTATGGGATGCCGGTATATAATGTTTATTCTTTCTGTGTATCTCCCGGGCTGCAGTGCTAATGTGTATAGCTGGCCATACACCGTGCAATCTCCTTTACCCCAATCAATGACTTTGATGGGCCGGGTCCGATTATTTGTAACTAGAACCGATGTTTTAGACCAACTTAAACCTCCTCCTAATAGGTTTTTTTTTTTTTCATCCCCTTACCTTTTATCCTCAATTCACATACATGCCCTGTGAATCCGGCAATGATCTGTGTGATCCGCTGTGAGCCGGGTCTTGCGTCTCCTCTTCCTTTCCACTGCCTCCGGGAGCCAGCTTTCTCTTCTAGGTTTTTGCAGCAAGCCCCCTTCAATCTGCCTTCCTCCAGCCACAGGTCCACACCTCCAGCGATGTGCGTGCCTCTGGTGAAGCCTCCTGGGATATCTTACTTGCATATCCTAGGAGGCTCTGGGAGCAAGGATGTCATTCTCGCATAGGCGAGAATGGAGGCAGGGTGCTGGATGGACTGTAGTATTAAGAAAAAGTTTCCTACATTGTGGAGGGCATATAAATATAATGAGGCAAAGTAGTTTAGGTGAGTAAATGTCTGCTTTAGTTTGAGCCCTCTTATTACATCAGTTTGGTAGAGCTAAAGGAAATTGTACAGATTGTAATGGTGTATGGCCAGTTGGAGAGTTGATTACAGTGTGCCCTTTCTGGGGTTGGTGTAGCTTGTGTTTACTTGTAATTCTTCAGCTGCTGGGAATGTTCAGGGTACATTATATTAAGATGTCGGCTAACTGATGAAATGTTTGCTTTGTTTATTACAAAGCAAATTATTATACAAATACAGTTCTATTTATAAATGTTTTAAACAACTTCCACCCAGGATTACCACATTTTTCCAGATGCATGCAATTAGAAAAATGTGTGAAACCTGTGTACATTTTGTATGAAGACATGTAAAAATAGACCCCATGTTTATTTCTGGACCAAGATTACCCTATGAAAACATCAACCCATGGTTAAAGGGCAAGTAAAGGGAAATAACTGTATATTTTAAAAGTACATTTTTACTTTATAAATGTAATGTAGAATTATGGGGAAAATTCAGCCATCTTAATCATCTCAATCATTTAATCCTAATCAAACTGCATACATATTTCTTCTTTAAAAGCATAGTCCAGCTTTTGCAAAAAAAAAAAAAATGCACACACAATGGGAAAAAAAAAAAAGTGAAATTATTTTTTTACATTGGAGCCAGTAAAGCATTGCAACGGCGATCAGTGAATTATTCCAGGTCCTCCAAACTCTTCCTCCCAGTATCGAGGTACAGACTTTCAGTTACGGGGACAGGAGGAAGAATGAATGGACTACAAGTCATCGCTACACTTGTACTGGCAGTCCCTGGGTTACATACAAGATAGGGACTTTAGGTTTTTACTTAAGTTGAATTTGTATGTAAGTCGAAACAGGTAAAAAATTTTAAGCGTAACTCCAGCCAAAACATTTTTTTTTTGTTTTGGATAGCATAGGGAAGGGCCACGGTTCTTTTGCTGTCTGTTCCTGTTATTCAGAAGATTATAATATAATTAAAAATATTTTTTATTTAAAATGACACAGCAAAAGTTTTTTTCTATTTTTAATTTTATTTTATAAACTTTATTTTTATTTGTTTGCATTTTTATTTATTTTCACTTTTTTTTTGTCTTTTTACTTTTTTTTTTTTTTGTACTTTAATGCTGGGAGCCATAGCCAGCCTGCTATTGGATATTTCAAATTGCAATAGCAGGCTGGCTATTGCATCTGCCTGCTGTCAATCAGCAGAGGAGGGGCCTGAAGCAGAAAGTTCTCTATCAGGTCCCCCCATGCTGATTGACAGCAGACAGTGGGCGGGTGCAATAGCCAGCTTGCTATTGGCTATTGCATTTTACCATATCCAATAGCAGGCTGGGTATGGCTCCCAGCCTGCAATGAAGAGTAGGCAGGGGGGGGGGGCAGCGAGCCGCGGCCGGACCAGGAGTCCGGAGGATCGCCTGGACCCGGGAAGCCGACGGAGCGGCTGAAGAGGAAGCTGGCACATCAGCAGAGGTACGTTGGGCATCGGCAGTATGCAGCGGTTGGGTGGTGTTGTGTATCGGCTGAAACCCACCCCACTGGCAGTCAGTGCCAGAAAATGCCCAACTCTACCCTGGGTGTTATGATTTTACAAGATTCCCTGCTTTAGTAGGATGTTTACATAGAGCACTCTTTGGGCTCCCTCCTCCTGCACCAAGAAGACTTCTCCAGTCCACTCTAATAACATTATGGGGTCAAATAAGAGAAATAATAACAGTATTCTTCTCTTCAGCCTAAACTACTATATGTAAATTGCTATACTGATGTATTAAATTATAACCATTTACAGATACAGTGATGAACTTCTGGGAAAAGTTTTCGCTATGGCAAACGGTATTCACATAGAAGATGCTCCACATTTCACCACCAGGGATGAAATAGTGAAACGGGTATGTTTCTGAATTGGTATCAGTACCAGTCATGATTTACACTGAGATGTTTAGGGCAGGTGACAATATTTATTCATATTTTCTCCATCACTCTGCCAATATCTGCTTCTTTTAGCTAGGCTATTTCTGTGGACTGGTGCCTGTTTTCCTTTTAAAAGCTATACCAGAGTTAGATTGCCAAACACCCTTTATTCTATACAGGTTTGTGACTAAAGATTCATTTAGAAAACAGCATTGTGATAATGGAAGTTTGGCAGTGTTTTTCAAGAAGGCACTTGCACATAGTTCAAACCAGTGGATGTATGTTATGGTGCATATATGTGCATTGTGAACCTACAATGCATTATTACAACACATCAAAGGAAATGTATTTTTCCTTTATTTAAACTTTAAATAGAGTAGAAAAAAAACACTTTAGTCTACTGCATGTTATGTGCTGGGATGTGTTGTTGTAATGCATCATGTTGCCTAAAAAGGCAGACATGCTACGTTTTTATTCAACGCACGCCAATAACTACAACGATTGTTCTGTTAGTGTCCTCGTGTTGATCTAACTGATCAACAGGGCTTAGCACTCATGATGTGAACAAGCCCTGAGACAAGTTAACTGTAGATAATTTGTATCAGAGAAAGCATTTTAAAGAGAGCCAGTCACAGGCATTTTGTAAATTACTGAATCTTTACTTTTAGAATGTATGTAAACCCTAACAATTAAACTTTGTATTTGCTTTTAGTCTAGTAAATATACCATTGAAGATGTTGTTTTTTTAATATATCTGATACATGCAAAAAATACCTGTTGATCCTGCCAGAAATCCAGTACAGCCCTGTGTACTGTGCATTTTGCAGTGTCCTCTTAAACAATGTTATCAACCCTCCATAGACTCACCACTCCATTCTAGCTTCTGCTGCAGTCAGTCCATATTCTGGGTGCAGGCTATAGTGGGCTTCTCACTTGTTCAAATAAATCTTCAAAAGATCAGCAGCACAACCAGAATAGGTACAGCCCAAAAATGTATTTGAAGTAATCCAAACAGGTTACAAAAAATGAATGAATCCAAGAAAACAGTGAACAGCATGTACATCACCTTAGACATCTCCCACACCATGCCAATGCTTCTCAAACGTTTCACCACCTGGGCTTAATCACAGAGGTCAGCGAGACCTCTATGATTAAGCCCAGGTGGTGAGGCGCATTGGCGTGGTGTGGGAGATGTCTATGGTGATGTACACTGTTTTGGATTTATTCATTTTTTGGAACCTGTTTTGGATTACGTCAATACATTTTTGCTTGTATTTATTCTGGTTGTGTGGCTGATCTTTCGAAAATGTTATCAACCCTGCTTAAGAATCTAAGGTAACCATGGGCTGTTTAGCAAATTAGGCAGTTCTAAACTAATCTGCTAATATTCATCACTTTTGTGGGGGGTTTTAACTGTCCCTCGCTCTCTCTGGCTGAATGTTGAATAGCCAAGATGAAACATTTGGTTGAATGATTTTCTATCCACAGACATGAATGCTATTTTAGATGCCCATACACCTTACAATTTATCTGCAGATTTTCTGTGGTCAGATGGAAAAAGTGCAACAGATTGGCCCAGGTGGAGATTACTCCATCCACACAGTTTAAGTGTAGATGGAGGAATCTGTTGCACCTTTTCCATCTGACCACAGAAAATCTGCAGATAAATTGTAAGGTGTATGGCCAGCTTTAGTCTTCTGATCAGATTGGGAAATGTTAAAGGATAAGTCTCTGTGAAGGATCTCATTCATCCAGGTCATGGTATATCTGTAAAAAAAAAAAAAAAAAAACTCCCCCACCCCTATTTAAGCTTGGCTTCTCCATTTTTACATATTCTTTTGCCCCCTGACCTAACCCATCCTCCCCCCCCACAGAGATGAATGCTTGTCTCAATCCAACTGTTGCAGTTCCGCTGTTTGTTTACATCCCAAGGTGCACTGTCCTGGCTGTGCTTGCTCATTACTGCCCTATAGACCTCTATGGGTCTGTGTCCCGACACTGGAGACTATTAGAGACGGTTCCATAGAAGTCTAGAGGGCTGTAATGTGCAGGTGTGTGCAGGACCATGAGTACTTGCACCACTGGATGTTAAGAAACAGTGGAACAACTGCGGCCATTGGGACAGTGGGTTAGGTTAGTTCAGGGGAAAGGGGCAAGAAGGATAAGTGCATTTTGTCTTGCTGCATTTTTCTACTAGATTGTGTTTTGCTACTTAAAATAAATGTTTTTTTGTCACGAGTAATATTTGCTTTTCTTTTGTCTTTTTAAACCCAGAATCAAAGTCACTGATATGGATTCAGTGCAGTGATGGATGTCCGAAGATTGATTTGTATGATTAGGATCATGGCTTTCAACAATTTAAAATGTGAATGCTCTTTTGCTTTATACCAGCAGAGATGTTTCTAACCTTATTAAAATGTTTTGCACCTTTTTATTACATTACATTTCCTAAAGAAGCCTTTATATGATCTGTAATTTTATCATTGTTCAATTGCTATCTGAATATGCCTATCTGTAGTAGAAACTAGATGTCATCTAGGTAATAGAATACATTGATTTTAGGTTACATATATAAAGCCAAAGCTTTTATCTTATTTTTAGGTTTGGATCGAATATGGTAGGGTGGTTAGGGTATTTAATTTTAATTGTCTTGTAATTGTCCTGGTGATCAGTCAGCAGGACTGAGAGAAAATCCAAAAGTTAAGCAATCGCCAGAACAGAAAATGAGCAGAAATCTTCCAGTAGGCACACTTCTGGTGACAAATCATCTAAGAGGGGGATTTCCCATACTTTGAATTTTCCTCTAACTTCCGGTTTTATCTACAGGACAAAGTGAACGGGACTCAATGGGGCATAAAAAAAGTTTATAAAAGTAACTATCTGCTCTAACCACAATGTTAAAGAAGTTAAACATCTAAGGGACAGAAACAAATGTTTAATAGCTCCAGTCAGTTGAGTTCAGTCAAAACTGTAAATGAAGTCTTGAGATACATACACTGGGAGCACAGCCAGTTCAAATTTCAATTCACATACCTTTTTTTTTTTTGGCTGTCAGCTTTTAAAATGGAAGTAAACCACTTTGTAAATTTTTGTCTTTTTCCCTAATGTGTAAGTAGCTTACACATGTGCACAATAAGGCACACTTACCTTAAGATTGTGCCCTCCTCCAGCACTCTCGGATTGATCTCCGGTCCTCAGCTCTGTTCCCCCCCCCCCCCACCACTGACACTTCCAGGAGGTCCTCTGTCCCCAGTGATGATGTAACGCCTGTGCATTCATCTTCCCCAGCCATCAGCGCATTCACAGCATCTAAGAAGTTTTGAATGGCTTGAGTGTGTACACTGTATGGCACATGTGACATACAGTGTTCATAAACAATTGCTGGGGAGAGAGGAATAATTTTTTCCCCAAAGTCTCTTTGACCAAAGATCCCTACAACATTTTTTTTTTTTTTGTATTTATTTATTTTTTCCCCCCACTATATGTACGAATGAAATAGCTGTTTTACTTGAAGATCTGTGTGTAAAAAACTATTTGCTGAACTTTCTAAGATGACCCCTGGAGTTTCTAAGGGGTGAGAAATTTGACACCAGGCACAGTTATTAGGAGAAAAAGTGTGCTGCTTTCTGGAACAAAATTACAGGGAGCACAACCCACCTGCTCAATATTTCATTCTGTCCTGCACCAGTCAACTGCAGACCCTTTTGTCAGTGTCTTGGTGATCTGGGAACACCCCTGTGGGCTCTTTGTTGCCTTTCTTTTGTAGTTAAAAATCCAGTATTAAAAGTTTCTCAGTCAGATTCAAACCTGGAAGTTTGAGAGTGATTTGTTTTTGAAATTTTTTTTTGCATTTCTGTGGATAAAACCCCTTATCACCGAAAACGTAAGCTTGCTGGCTCTTATTAATTGTGATTGATATTATATAACATTTAAGTGTAGCGCTATGAACACACATGAAAAATACTATCAAATAGTGTAACTTATAACAATGTGATACTAAAACAATAAGCACATTTTTCAACAGTGCTCATAAACACTATAACAGACACCGCATTTAAGTGCTAAAAGTGGCACAATAAAAAAAAATATTAGGGATGCACTGATATATCAGCCGAAAATTGCACTTTTGGCTAAATGCCGAAAGTGCCTTTTTTTTTTCTGCCGATACAGCGGCACATCCCTGCTTTCTTTCCTCCCCGCTGGGCGCTGCTCTGTGTCCCAGCGGGGAGGAAAGTGTCAGAGGCGACCGAGCGCTGCGGGAGGAGAGCGTTGGGAGCGGCCGGCACAGCCTCCTATCACAGTCCGGCAGAGCAGTGTATGGGTGGAGACAGCCAGCGCTGTCACAGGAGGCTGAGCTCCCTGCACCGCCCCGCCCAGCCCAGCCTCCTGTGACAGCTTTCAGAAAGGAGAGCCAATGCAAACACTCGATCGCTGAGTGTTTGTAGATAATTGAGGACAGTATGGTTACTATATCCTCATTTATGAATGAATCAGAAGTGATCTACATCACCTCCTGTTCATTCATAATTATGATTATAGTAAACATACTATCCAAGTTATGAATGAACAGGAGCACTCAGTATAGAGGATTCCTGTTCATTGATAACCGGGGCTGCAGAAAAGATTGAGGGATCTGTGTCCCCAATCTCTTTTTCTATTTTAAAAGGTAAATATAAGGGGTCTGTTTAGACCCCTAATATTTCCCCAAAGCCCCTAAAAGTAAAGTTAAAAAAATGAATAAAATAAACTAACTATTCCACAACTCCAAAGTACATACCATAGAGGACAAAAGCAAAGAGCGCTGGATGGATTTCTGCCCATCTAGTTCCAGGAGCAAAAGAGCAGAGAAAGGGTAAAGTCTTTAGCTGTACAGCAATATAGTAGTTAGAAATCTGAAAGAGCAAGTCCTCTTTCAGAAAGGGAGGCAAAAAGGACATTTTTGGATATGCGGTGCTGTCCATCACCCCAGAGAAATGCCAGGATCCTGCGTTGCAAGGAATTTAGGTCTGACACGGGGATCTTAATTGGTAAAGTTACAAAATGGTACAACAATTTAGGTAGGAAAGTCATCTTGATGGCCGAAATTTTCCTCATTTTCTGCAGAAGTCGCAGTGATGCAAAAGGGTTTATAATATACAGCATATAGTTGGGGGCAGGGGCATATCTAGAATTCCCAGGGCCGCATATCAATTTTGTAAGATGTAAATCGCCTCCTGTTCATTCATAACTGGGGACACATAGTACTATGTGTCCCCAGTTATTTACAAACACTGGAGTGATCAGACGATCACTCCAGTGTTTGTGCTGCACACAGAGGATTGGTAAATATCAATGATACTTACCGATCCTCCGCTCGGCCACGCACACAGCTGCCCTAAAACTGACAGGAGGACAGCGGCTCTGCTCTCCTCCCCGCCTGCCGCTCGATCACGATGATCAAGCGGGGGGAGAGCGGAGCCGCTGTCCTGTCAGTTTCAGGACGGCAGCGGTTCCTCCTCCGTCTATTTTTTTTTTCCGGATCCCCGCTGCCTCAGCCCATACAAGCGCGGAGAGCAGCGGGGATCCGGGCCCCCCTAGTGCCTGCATCGTTCGCTATGGTGGTAGTTCCGCCACTGGTTGGGGGTAAGTTTGATTCCTAAATCCTTGAGGAAGTCTGTTTTCCAATTATACAGAAAGGAAGCCTGACGTGTGGAAAGAGTAGTGGAATTAATGTGAAGAGGTAGCGCTTCAGTTTTAGAAGTATTCAGTTTGTACCTGGAAACTGCGGAGTAGTTGGCCAGGATATTATGGAGAGTAGGGAGGGACAGTAATGCCTTGTTCAGGGTTAAAATAATATCTGCAAATTTTTTTTTAAACTTCCCCGGATTGAGACCCCCGAAACATCAAGTGAGTCTCCAATATGATTTGCTAAATATTCAATACATAAGATAAATAAAAGCGGGGATAAAGGGCATCCCTGTCTGGAGCCATTTCTGATCTCCAAAGGGGAAGAAGTAGCATTAGACAACTTAACTGCAGATGATGGGAAGGAGTATAGGGTCCGAGTAGCGGTCGCAAAGGGGGCAGAGATGCCTACGTGAGATAAAGTGGCATGTATGAAAGGCCAGCTCAACGTATCAAAGGCCTTCTCTGCATCCAAACTGAGGATTAAGGATTCTTCCCTAGTGCGATTGATCAACCCAGGAAGAAATTTGGACAGTCCATTGGCCAGAAGTTTGGTGAAGATTTTGAAATCGGAGTTAAGAAGCTCAATGGGGTGATAATTAGTGCAGAGCTTAATGTCTATCGGGTTTAGGGATGACTGTTCTATGGGAATACAGAAAAGAGGGCGGCATAAGATCCCCGCCGAGAAAGCCATTGTATAATTTAAATGGGTAAGTATATCTTGGAATGTTTTATAATAGAGATATGTGAAGCCATCTGGGCCTGGCAACTTGCCATTAGGGAGTGAACATATCACAGAATGAATTTCCTCCGCTGAGATAGAGGCATTTAGATCAGAAAGCTCAGTTTGTGGGCATAGCACACGAGCAAAGAAAGTCCGCCACACGGGATTCCAAGGTCCCAGTAGGATCTCGGAAAGCAGGGCCTTCTAAATTATAAAGGCGCACGTAATACTCACGAAAAATCGTGGCAATGCGGTCCGGCTGCTGGTGTAAAACTCCCCTAGAGTGCCGTACGGCGGAGATCCAACAGCTCTGCATTTCAAGTTTCAATTTACGCTCCAAGATAGTGTGGGCTTCGTTGCCTTTTTCATAATACTGTTGCCTAAGATACAGCATGGAAGCCTCAATTTTATGTATTAAAAGATGGCATAGGTACTCTCTCAAACGGACCAAGGCACAAAGAATACGTTTGGTGGGTTTGAGAGCGAGGCGACCCTCCAGGTCCAAGATCTCCAGACTAAGTTGGGAAACTTTCAGAGCACGATCTTTTAATCCTTGAAGCTAAAGAGATGCATTGACCACGTATGGTGGATTTATGCACCTCCCACGGAGTCGACTGGAGAGGGACCGACCATTAATATCACAATATTGGCGAATAGCACTCGCCAAAGTCAATCTAGAGGAAGTTTCCTTAAGGAGTCTGTCATTTAGTCTCCAATTACATTGCTTGGCACAGGTCGGGTCAATTAGAGCAGTCATCTCTATGGGAGCGTGATCTGACCACGAAATGGTACCTATAGAGGCATCTACCATGTTTCTTAGGGTTGAGTAGTTTATGAAGAAGTAGTCTAATCTTGTGTGGGGGCTGTGTACAGGTGAGTAAAAAGAGTGATGAGAGACCCGCCAAGAATCTGAGAGTATTGACGTAGTAAGCGATGGAAGCACT